AACACCTAACTTGCAGGATACACTAAAACTAAAACAAACTCATAAATTAGGGTTACATTTAGAAAACTTTGAATTCATGAATCAAAATAAAATTGAAGATAAAATTCAAGGACTATGTGTAGGATTAACCCAAGGTTTTATTATTAGCCACATTATAGTTTTGTTGCAATGAACTTGGAGTCTGATTAAAAAATTTTCAATTACAAGTAAATTATTGATTGTTACATTGATTTGGTCATATGATAAATTAAAAATAATAAAAAGATTTCCAACTTCCACTGCCTCTTTTTTAAGACTCATGAGCAGTCATATTGTATGGATCATACACCAATTTTAATCTTATAAAGGGGACATAAGTCATCATGATCGTAATGGATGGGGCCTCTTTGGTTTGCATGGATGACCCGTCTAGCTTTAATTTATTCCAACAATCTTGTTCGGAGTTGGTCTCACTAACACGTTGAAAGCTGCCGCAGCTGGCTCATTCACAGGTCACAACCCTTTTTTTTTTCTTTTTTTTCCCCCTTTTCTCTTCACTTTAGAAGCAAACAATATTAGTGCTTTTATGGTCCCCACTAGGATACATTATTCCAAGCCTTAACGTGTATTTCAAGCTCACACCAATGGCTAGCTTACCAGGATCTCAAAATCCATACATACTGTTGACCGTGAAAGCTCGTCAACAGAAATAGGCCCGGTCACCTCAAAGTATCCCGTTAGATTACCGGCAGGATATTGACTGTATACTCAGTTTATGCAATGAAATGTTTGTTGTATTTTTCGAATGGAGAGCAATATGAGGAAAAATGCTTGAAATAGAAGAATACACGAAATTTATAGTGGTTCACTCTGTTAATGAAGAGCTACATCAACTGTAGTGTTATATTTCTTTTGAGATTGTTACAATTTACATCAATTGATGTTCTCTCATTTTTTTCTCTCTTAGGAAGCCAACCCCTTGGCGTATGGGGCTTTGCCCTTTTTATAACCCAAGCTTCCTTCATCGGTGGTTTTCCTTCGTAGGTGGAAGCACTCGAGTGGCCTACTTTCTAGGCTAAGATCGTAGCCCACTAATCACTTTTGGACTGTTCACTTAGCCGTTGGGTCTTCTATTACGGCTCTGTGACTTCCTGTAATCTGTTGCTTCCCACTGCAGGGCGGTTTAAGGGTTTATAATTAATGCATGCACTGCAGTCACCTCGGGAGTCCCACGCTTATACGGTCGACGCTGTCCTGTTGCAGCAGAGTCCAGGCGCAGACCACAACTCGGCCGACCTTAGCTAAACTTCCTCCCCGGACGAGCCATATAGACGTCGAGGGTTAATGGGGTCGGCAGCCTAAACGGTCGACGCCTGCATCCACGCAGCCCCTGTGGGGCCACGTGGCGTACCCTTGTTGGCTGACGTGTTCAAGCTTATTTTCTGGTACAACATATACTTTCTTGAACCTTTTTCTTTTTCTTCTCTCTCTCTCTCTTTTTTTTTTTTTTTTCTTTCCCTCATCGTCTTGGTATATTTGTCATGTTCACTAGCGAAAGCTTACTAATAAGCAACAATAGGTGATTAGCTCAAATCATTAAGTTTTACTTGTATGGCCAATTAACAACTGAAGGTATGGTTGGCTAAGATCAAAATCCTAAACCATTGTCAGAATAAGGAAACCTGGACCAGTCAATAATTACAAGTAAGATAACCATGACGAATATTAACCAATTAGTCATTCTCTCGCTTGTTATCAGACTCTTTCCAAATTTGTCTAGTCAAGTTACTATAAAAATTGTTATTGATATCTCTCATTTTGATTATTTGATTAGCATTAAGTTTCTGCTTTTTAGCAAAAAGGGAAATGCAAGTTGCCTTTTGTAGGAGTCGTTTGGAAGAATCTCTTCCAACTAGGCTGGGGCTAAGGCTAAATCTAGGAAGCGGATATGGATAGCATATGGGAAAGCCCAGTCTCTTTTGGGTCCTTTCCATCTAGAATGTGTCGATGTCATTGGGTGTCTTTCATATCAGAGATTTAATCAAAAACAAATTACACAGCAGCAATCATTTTCACAGAAAAACAGGGGAAAAAAAACCATCAAAACTATATTCTAAGAACTTCTTAAAAGAAAAATGCTTAAGGACCATACTTGCATGAAACCAACTCCATATTAGTTTGATGTTGGACATTACTAATAAATATAACATTATTCGGTATTGTTATCTAAAATAAATATACGTCACACTCTTTATTTTTATAAGTTATAATGATCTTTCTTGCTGACGTAATCTTTTGCAATGTACTTTGGAGTCTGTGAGACTTTGGAAGAAATTAGAGCAAAGTATAAAGGTGTATCTGTACCATAAGAGCTTGGGCGATCGGAAGTCAGAACCATGTGCATTATACGTCATTGTTATCTAAAATAAATGTACATCACACTCTACTTTTACAAGTTATGATGATCTTTCTTAGAGATGTAACAATGGGTTGGGGCCCGTGGGCCGGCCCAGGCTCATCCTGATACAGTGACGAGCCGGGCTGGCACAGCCCGTCACTGTTCAAGTCACGGCCCAACACATAAATATTAGCGAGTTGGGCTAGGTTAACATATATCGGCACATGGGCAGGCCCGACACGGCCCATGAAAAATCATCTTATATATAATTATCCTGATTGTACTCTTTTTTCCTTACTAAGATTTTGTCTCACTGGATTTTCCTTGAAAAGGTTTTTAATGAGGCAATCGTAAATCAAATATCTTTTTTTATATTTCTATTAACTATTCAAACTTTTATATTTGTTAACTTGTTTTAAAATTTAAAAATAAAAAATAAAAAAAATTTAAAAATTACATGCTCAGATAGCTGGCTCATCTAAACCCATGATGGGTCAAGATGGGCCTTTAATGGGTCAGCTCATTCAAGGCCCACGGCATGACCCATCCTGACCCACAACACGACCTAACCTGCCCCACGTAAAATTGGCTCGTGGTGTAGGCTGAGCCGAGGTAATTCTTATACGGGTCGGCCCGGCCCACAAATTTTGTGGGCTGAGCCGGCCTAGCCCACGGTCTATGTGGGCCTAAGGAGAACGGGCTGGGCCAGGCCGAGCCAGCCCGTTCTTGCAATTCTTTCTTGCTAACTTAAGTAGTCTTTTGTAATGTACCTTCGAGTATGTGAGACTCCAGAAAAAATTTAGGAAGAAAGAGGAAAATAGGCCAAGACTTGAGATGAATTAAAATTAATAGGCAAATAGTTTACATAAGTTAATAAATAAGCCAAATTACTGTTTTTGTCCATTACTTGTCTGGTTATGAACCATAACTTGACAAGTTATTGTCCATAATTCATAATTTTTGTCCATAACTTGTCTGGTTATGAACCATAACTTGACAAGTTTGTCCATAACTTATCTGATTATGAATCATAACTTGATAAGTTTTGGTCTATTAATTTTTATAACTAAAAATTGACCTATATACTTTCTTAAGCTTTTCATATTGTCTTATTTTCTACTATTTCCGTAAAATTTAATCTTCAAAGTCACAAGAAGTTCATAGCAAAGTTTTCAGAGGAAAAAAAAATCTAGAGCAAAGTATAAAGGTGTATCTCTCGGAAGTCAGAATCGTATATTTTTTTGAAGGAATTAGAAGTTTTACTTGAGCAAGGAATCAACATTCTACATGCCGAGGAAAGTAAACCCAAGCAAGGAGAGAATGAATCGGGAAGAGACATGGTTGAAGGGTTAATGGATATACTTAAAGCCATCTCTAATGCAATGCTATAATTTATGTGTCAATTATAAATTTAATATTTAAGTATAAAAAATACTCTCTAATGCAATATTACTTGTTATGTTAAATTTTTTTTTATGCTATACTTTGTGATAAATTTCTTACCAAGTATTGCATATAAAAAATTTAACATTTAATTACTATTGGTTGAAGTGTTTATTTTTTTTATGTAATCAATGCAACTTTTACATTTTTTAATTATTTTAAAAATAAATGTTTACTTTTACAACTTCCAAAACTTAATAAATATAATAAAAAATAAATTTAAGATTTCAAATAACATTATGTATCAAAACAAAAATAAAAATAACATATAATATCATAATTTTTTATATTAAATATACAATTAACATTAACATTTAAATTGAAGATGGTCTTACACTGTGATTTCAGCACTACTTACTTTTTCTCTCTTTTTCTTTTTGAATATGTTATTAGAGCAGCAATTACTAGCTTTTGAAAGAGATTTAGAGCCTGTTTAGTTGGCTGATTCGAATTTTTAATTCGAGTTGAGATGTGATTTTATGTGAAAAATTTTTATTGTAGTAAAAAAGTTAAATGTGACTGTTTATAATAGCATTTTACTGTAACAAAATAGGATCCGTAACAAAAAAAGTATATGTGACTATTACTGAGAATTTTTTACTGTAACAAAATTTGAATTTTAAACTCAAATTGTAAATCCAACTCATTATATTCACGTCTTTTACACCTACGTGCCGGAATGTGATTGTCTGATTGAGACAAAGGCACTGCCTGGCGAGTGTGAGACTCCCAAGCACGCATCGTTCTTTTGTTTGTAAAGGACCAATTTTTCTGAAATAATCAAAACTGATGTGTCCATCAGCAAAAAATAAATAAATAAATGAATACATAAAAAAATAAATAAAATGATAATAGATAAAATCAAAACTGATGTGTCGTTTTCTAAACTTGAACGACAACAAACTTTTAAAACACAAATGAGAGAGCATCGGCCGTTCACAGTTTTACAGAAAAGTTAAAAAAAAAATGTACGTGTTTTTAACAAATTTTATACGAGTACAGTTTTGTTTCTCGTGATCTCGTCGGTGGAAAGAAATTTAAAGTTACCAACACTCCACCGTCATTAAACATTCAAATCACGCTTATTTTTATGACACGCTAGATCTATATTGGTTTCTTAAAATCTCAATGACAATATTGAGCACTTACATGAAATTAAGAGGAAAACAATACGACAGAAAATTGACCAAACGACGGCACGGCCAATTAAAAATTATATGATATTAAAACATAAGTGCCAGTACAAGCAGCAATTGTTCTTAAAAATAACTTCTCTACATTGAGAGAACAAAATTTCCAAATTGACCTGTTGCCATAAAATTTTACAGCTTACGGGGCCTTCCTCGTTTGCCAGTTCTCCCCTCAGTAGCCCGTGAACTTTTATTCGCAGATGGAGGACGGCCCCGGCCACGTTTTTCCCCTGAAGATGCTTTTTGAGCACCTTTACCACGGCCTCCACCGGAAACTTTCCCACCCCGTTTTTTATTTTGGCTACGCCCATTAGCTAGTTCATCACTATCATCACTAATGTCATCAGCACCATCATCTTCATCCTCGTCCTCGTCATCAGATGATTCTTTCGCCTTCTTCCACTTCTTCAAATTATCATCAGAAGCTTTGGCTGCACCTCTCTTCGACGCTTTCTTAACAACGGCAGTTTGGTTTTCGGGTTCCTCACTACCTGCAACAAGTGAACTCACGAGTCAAAAACCAGGTTGAAAACCGGGATCATAATATGTAAAAAATAAATAAAAGTATACAATTTTCGTGTCAATTTCGGGTTCACGGGTCAATTTCGTGTTACGGGTCATTTTCATGTCGTGTCGTGTCACCCGTAAAGTGATCATGTCGTGTTCGTGTTGCAGCTTCTAAAAAATTTCGTGTCACGAGTCGTGTTCGGGTTGACTGCAAATTTAGAAAGAAACGACACAACCCGTGACACGAATTGCCACCCCTACCCCCATTATTGATAATTCAAAAACTTATCTACAACATAAATTTTTGCAAAAGATTTTTCCTCGAAAAAATAGAACTAAGGTTCACATTGCGACCAAAAAATCCTCTTACCTTCACCAAAAGTTTTGCCATCATAAACATCAAGCTGCAAGAAAAAAAAAAAAAAAAGGAAAAAATTGAAACTTAAAGATCGTTACATTATAAGTATAAGAGATAAGCTGCCGCTAACACAGAAGAACAATATTAAAAGAGTAAACGGAATGTCATCCTTAATAAAAAGTGAAAAAATAAAAATAAAAAAAGATTGTTGGGACTTGAATGATCGAGATAAAAACAAATCATAATAAACAAAGATGATTTTCACTAGAATTCCTGAATAGAAAGACTGGCATATCCAATTAAGTACAGTTGAGAACGTTGGAATACAAAAAATTGAACAAGCAACCATGGGTTTTGTTAATATGATTACTAGTTTACTGTTAAATTTTACATCTCTGATGCAAACTCAGTTTTTTTTAACTTGGAAGTAAAATCCTTACAGCTCAAGGATAAAGGGGTCAAGGGCATCATTCAAAGATAAAATAAAAACTAGAAATGCAACCGGATCACTAAAGGGAACATTCCAAAAAGATCACGGATATTATTCTAGTTCTGGGGGAAGTTACCTGATCTAGTCGGTCGGCAACATTTGTTCTATCAACAACCACCATGGAAAAGCCCAAACCACATGCAACACTGGAGGGAAAATATATTTTTAATGTCCCAGACGTACCTACGATCCTCATAGTAAAGATACGTATACCAAATATGAATAAAAATATGTACCTGAGAACATGCATACCCTCAAGAATATCCACCTTTTTGGGCACCGAGGAGGATCTAAAGTGAGGAAATAGCAGGGAAGCAAAGATTAGATAAAGGGGTGACTGGACAATCTTGGAGACAGAAATGTTCATTGGCGAGAAATCACATACTTCTGGCCGTTGGGACCATATCCCAGCTCTCCATGCTGAGCGTGACCCCAACTTATGCAGGAATTGTCGGCACCAACAAAATGGTGCATGTTACCAGAATCCATGCAACGTAAATTCCAGCCACTGTCAGAAAGAGAAGCAAAACTGTCAGCAAAAATGCCAAACCATCAAGGATAACAGGATAACCATAAATGACATCCTTCAAACTAAATTGTATAACAATTTTCAGAAGGATGCTACAGAAAGGAGAAAAAGCAATGCTTTAAACAAAATAACAGAGAACAGCACCTTAAATCCATTAGAGGTTTAGGATACATCCAATCGTCGCCTGTGTTCTTTAATTTTCCCCACATATATAACTGGCCCCCACCTGAAGTAGAAAGAGAAAGTTCTGTGATCTCAACATGACACCGGGTTAAGAAATCACTTTAATTCCATTATCCTGATTCCAACAGCAAGTATCATGGATAAGTTACTAAGTAAATAAAAAACAGAAAACTCGTGAATTGTACAAGGCAAATAGTCATTACGTTGCATAAATTTGGTAATAAATGAGGGACCAAGATAAAGAAGCTAACATGTGGATCACCATAAGAAAAAGAAAAACCAAGTAATACAAAATTAATACCCGCAGTGCATGCAGAATTAACAGAACCCGCCGAAATGACTGCATTAGGGGGTAAGATATTATGCCTCTGGAAAACATCAACTCGACGAGGGACCCACTCGTCCTTCTGCTCCCTATGTCCAAGCCTGCAAATTGATACTCAAGAAGTTATATGAAAGATGAGAAGAAAAGAAGACCCACAGAGCATATATGGACATATTATACGTATAATACTGTAATTCTTTCAAACATCATGTGTTCATATATACGAATATGCTGAGCTTTTTCAAAATCCATTCAACAAGCCATCCAGAATGGCCTGACAGTGCAGAAACATCACAAAAGACAGAGCGAGTACCAACCTCCCATAACCACCAAATCCCCACCTGTGCATATTACCAAAAACAAGTAGTTACTGTAATATAGTTCCAGTAAAAAAGAAAGAGAGAGAGAGAGAGAGAGAGATTATGGCATATTATTGGTAAGAATAAGAATACTGAATTGAGATTAAAACTGTAATAGAAAAAAGCACTTACGTATACACATAACCATTTGAATCCACCGCCACTGAAACAAAATACATAATGAAGCATACAACACAAGTGAGTATTGAGAAGACGGAAAAGCAGAGAGAGAGAGAGAGAGAGAGAGAGAGAGAACCTGTGTGGTTTGTTCCGCATGCAACTTTCACAATTGTTTCCCCAGAAAGTGAAGCTATTGCTCTAGGGCGAGGCTGGGCTTCATAAGCAAGTCTCACTGAGCTGTCTTTAGTATTGTACTGCAAGAGCACGCAAAATTACGTCAGGAGCCAACAAGAATGCCTATAAATAAGAAAACATAGACAACTTAACGATAATCAGAGAGTGTACTAGTATCTATAAAAATAATACAAAGACAGCATATTAATAAAGTTTCCAGCAGAATACCTCATTGTCAGTTCCATGCCCAAGTTGCCCATACTGTGGAAGGCCTGCAGTTCTAAAAACAAGAAATAGTGTGCAAATTAAACACAATCTAGTAACTAAAATGCAGAGAACGACAACTCGGGTTCCCAAGGCAAAAAAAAAAAAAAAAAAAACCACTTAAAAAGGTCCTACAAACCATACAGTATAGAAGCTCCTTCAACAGAAGATAACCAAACAGTAAACTCAGCACCACAAGCAGTAGTTGTAACTTCAGACACAAGACAGCGAACAGGAGATGCCTCAATTTCTACCGGGAAAAAAAAAACAAAAAACAAAAACAAAACAACAATGTTACGGAGAAGAATGTCAATCATAGAGTAGCATATTACTCATCATACAAGACATGCATATTTCAACGCATCCGGCCTAATTAAGCAATGTCCATAAATGATTCACTGTTGCAGAAAACTGCTAAAAGAATTCCACAACTTCAAACTTACCATTTCTTACTGAACCTGAACCGAGCTGCCCATGTTTGTTCCAGCCAAAAGATAGGGACTGCCCATCTTCAGTAACCACAACTGTGTGACTCCTCCCTGCTCCAGCTCTAACAATTTTGTACCTATGAGATCCGGAGAAACAGTACATTACAAAACAAAATTTAATCCTTCATAGAATTCTTCAAAATAAAATCCACAACTTTAAAGTAAAACCCAAAATACAGACCCCAACACACTAAAAACCAAGGAAAGGGAGATTATCCTAGTACTAATATAGCTATTAGCTACTCTGAAAGTTCAGATACTACAAAATGCGAAAAACAAAAAGAAAATTAATCCTTCAACGAACTCATATACAACCGTCAACTTTGAAAATGTTAGACTTAGACCCACAGGGGCCTCTAATTAAAATCACAAAGGGCCTCTAATTAAAACCCCCAAATGTAGACCTCTAGACGCTAAAAACAATAGTAAGGAAAGAAAAAATATTCCAATAATAGTATAGTTACTTACTTTGAAAGTTCAGATACTATAGTTGGCCTATCACGCTGAATTTTATCACCATGTCCCAACTGCCCTTTCTGCACATAATCGCTTCTCAAGTTTAATAATGGCAATAAGAGCAAAAAAAAAAAAATAACAAACAACATAACATAACAAAACATGATACACATTCAATAAATTATTAAACTTCAAAAAACAAAGTTCAAAAGAGTCCAAACAAACCTCATTGCGTCCCCAAGTATAGCAACGCCCTTCGACGTCCAATGCCACGCAATGACACGACACTGAACCAAGAATATATACCAAAAAGAAGAAGAAAAAAACAAAAATAATGGTAAAATCAGATGCCCATTTCTTGTTTTATCTCGTTATCAAAAGCCAACATTGTAATATTCAAGACAGAAAAGAAAGTAATGAATAAGGCAAAGAAAGATATACCACAACCGGCGGCGACGAAACGGATGTCAACGCCGACAAGAGGTCGGAGCAGAGTTGGAGAGACCAAGTTGCCCTCCATGGGGCCCTTTTTCCGGCCAATCGCGTCCCAACACGTGGCGCCACAGAACAGAAGCTCTCCCGCCTTCTCCACCTTCTTGTCCTCCTCCTCCCCCTTCTTCTCCGCTTCCACCGCAGACATTTTCGAGTCAAGAGAGAATAATAGAAGAAAAAATCGTTTTTTTTTTTTTGTTCCCGCAATATAGAACAACGTAGATCCAACGGCTACTTTTTTTGAAAACCTGTCGCACCAACGGCTAAGATGAGGAAGGTTTGGCGGGAAACGGGGGCGGGTAACGGCTAGTGAAAGAGATCGGAGAAGGAGGGATTTAGGGTTTTCAGGTGCCGTGGAAGAAAGAAGAAAGGAGATAAGGAAATGAGAAATGAAAACCCAAACCCTAATTCAAAATGAGAAGTGAGAAAAAGAAAAAGGACGTGTTAAATTAGATAAAGAAAAGAAATATATGGAGAGAGGAAAAAAAGCGTGGGATATCTGATATCATTTGGGTTTTTGGAGAATAGGGGATTAATTATTAATAAATATTGAAATAAATTGGCGATGAGAGAGAAGGAAAAAAGAAGAAAGAAATAAAAGAAAAAGAGCGGGCGTTTTATATAATAGATTTTCCTTCTTTTGCTTTTCGAATGAATAGTCTACCATGGACACAAGAATTCTTCGTCAGTATATTTACCCTTTTTGTAAATTATTATTATATAAGATATGAATTAATTTTAAAGGAAAATATAATAATAGAAAAGAGAATAATAAGCCAGGATACTTAAACGGTCCCCAGGGCATATATGCGTTAAAGTAGTATATTATTTGTCTTATGTTATCTTTCTCTATCAAGTTCCTAAATAAAGCGCATTTAACCAACAAATTTCTCATAGTTAGAAAAACTAATTTCTCATATTATCCAAAAATAAAATGAAATATATTACTCCAAAAAAATAAAAGAAAACAAAATACTTTTTTTCTTTGAAATTTTCTTTGCATCTTATATCCAACATTCTGCAGAAATTTTTTTTCCCTCAATAACTCATATTTTCTCTAATTTTTTCAGACAATGGGACAGAGAAGCCCCTGCGGGCCCAGTTGACCGGCACTACTTATTTCACTAGCGAGTTCAGCGTGAACTTTCCTGCACCCAAGACAATACAACTACAAAGAAAAAATGTCATTCCAATCCCGTCTAAAAAAGAAAAGAAAAAGAAAGTCTTCAATTTGTTTAGGCACAATTTTTTTTTTCTTTTTTTTTTTTTACTAACAATATATTAGAAGAGACAATTCGTGTCACGTCTCGTATTCGTATCGTATTTTAATCATTTATTTTTAAATTTACAGTAAATCCGAACACGATCCGTGACACAAAATTTTTTAAAAACCGTAACACGAACACAACACGACTACTTTACAGGTTGACACTGACACGACACGAAAATAACCCGTAACACAAAATTAACCCATGAATCCAAAATTGACACATTAAATACTTTTCTTTAATTTTTTACATATTAAAAATAACTTAAAATTCACAACACACTAAAATACAATAACATCCATCAAAGTTAAGCAAATAATAGTATGAGATTTTAAGTATAACTTTCATGATATCACAAATTTATAATAAAATCTAAAATATGTAATGAAAAATATATATATTTTTTAATTTTTTACGAATTGCATATCATGTTCGAGTTAAGAAGGTTCAACCTAAAATTGACATGTATTTTTCATGTCAATTTTAAGTCGACTCAATTCTGATCTGAACCATTTTTTTCTCAATCTTAACCCGTAAAATTCGTATTAACCCGTAAAATTCGTATTAATTTCGAGTCGTGTTATCATATCGTAATCCATGTGGCCAACCTTAAGTATAATGATCCACAATAAAGCGAAACAGAAACGAAGCCTAGTCCCCCAAAACAAGGTCTAAAAAGAAAATGTCAGACTGAACGAAACAGCAAGAACCAGACTCCATTAGCGAAAAAAATAAATAAATAAACAACAACAACAACAACAACAAATAGACAACACACGCAAAAGTTCACATGGTAAAATTAATACCATTCACGAGAATTGGTAATGTTAAGCAAAAGAAGCCCAAAGACTGGCTAAGAAGGAATCCTCATGCTCACATATGCAATATGCAATTCCATGATTACGGGACAACATCCACTAAGTAATGCCAAAAAGTACATATAGAAACTCAGCTTATAAGTACAAACAACCTTAAACTGTTTCATGGAGGAAATAACTGGATAAAAGTTTTGACTTCAGTTCCAAATGTGTCTCAACATAATATACCAACCCACCGAACAAAGAATATTAAGTAATATTGAAACAATGCAATATAAAGTCATCCAATTCTTAGACTTAGAAGCATATATGTATACTATATACCCATTCTTTACTACTCTTATTTCAAAAAAGACAAAGAAGTTCAGGCACTTTGCAGTCGAATAATCAGAAACTAATAGGTGAATTAACCAGCCTATTGGTTCGATTCATGCCCGGCAACCTTTCCGTTATGCTGCTGGGAAGACATTTCATTGTGTTGAGAGTGCAGCGGTTGCTGGGGTTGGGCCTGCTGCTGCTGCTGTTGCTGTTGCTGTTGCAGCTGATAAAGGACTTGCTGCTGATGCTGCAGATGGAACATTTGTTGGTTTAAAGAAAGCTGCTGAGCCATGCAGTTCGAGAGGTGAGCTTCCCCGCCGAGATCTGCCGCTGCAAGCTTTAGACGCTGGACTTCTGCGCTTAATGCCTCATTCAAAGCTGCAAAAGCAAAGACAACAAATGATGAAGCCCATCCAGACCCCACTAAAATCACCTTAAATCTGGCAGACATTAGAAAAGAGAAATATGAGACCAAACAACCCAATAAAATGTTCAAAGGAGATGAATACACAGATGAAAGACATTGAATAAGCATGATTCTTAACCGTCACTGGACCAATCATATGATAGTATCAGGTTCCTAAAATGTAGGCACAATAACCATAGTAGCAAAACAACTAAGAAGTACCAACTACCAACCATATCCAGAATTCTGCAAGTACATTGAATTGGACATGGAGGGACGTGCCATGCCTTCTAGTGCCTAACAGAAGATCTATAAACGCCTAGGATATATAAAACATGCAACAGCCAGAGGGTTAATGCAGAGTTTCGGCAAATTAAAAGAGCAATAAGTGCAACTATTGAGTCGAACATTTTTCAATTCACAATCAGAATAGTACATCAGTAGTAGTACTAGGCAAAAGCAACCGAGAAACTTGATTCATTGCACCAAAACTTAAAAATTATGTGCTACTCAATGGACAAAAACTTTTGAATCTTCACAGGGAAGAGGAACTGCATCCTTTGAACAACATTTTAATCATCAAGTCAGAACATTGTGGAGTCTCTAGGCAGCGTCATGACAGAAAGAATTATTCAAAATTTAGGTGTCGATAGATGGGAAGGAAAACATTATACCATCCTTGAGTTGGGCCTGTTGCTCCATAGCTTGAAGACGAAATTTTAACTCGTTGTTCTGGCTCGTAAGACCCACGGAATCTCTCTAGAGACAATGCAAACAAATCAGTGAACATAAAATAAACTAGCAAAAACGACATAACTGATACACTAAACTGAAAACCCCAGATACCAACCTGCAACTTTGTAACCTGGGCAGATAACGTGGTTGCCTCTGTCTGCAGAGTTTGAACCTTGTGTTCCAGTTCTGAAATGTACCGTGATCTCCGCTCCTTAGACCGAGCAGCTGATTGCCGATTAGCCAAAATCCTGTTTTGAAAAGATTGAACATGAAAAGTCTTACTCAATAACATAACAAATATGGTTATTGAGGTGTAGTGAAATACACAATACCTCTTGGCACGTTTGGGGTCCGATAAGGCTATCTCAGTAAGCTTCTCACTTTCCATAATCTTTTTCAGCTCAGCTGCGCTGAAATCACCATTTCCAAACTCCATGCTGAACTTACTTGAATTTCCATCCAGCAAACCGCTAGGTGATTGCTGACCAGCTCCGGATGGTAGGATCTTTAACGATTCATCATCAAGTTGAAAACTTTCCATATAACTGTCCATGGAAAGACTCCTATAGTGTCGCGCAGTTGGTGCAATATCTCCACCAGCTCTTCTTTTAACTCCTTCCCTCTTCTCTTTTAGATTTCCATTCATGTTACTTTCCACCTCATTGTCGCTGCTTTCGCAACCATTCGACTTTGCACTAACCCTGCTATCGAAATCCTTGTCCTCAGTACCAGATGAGTTCACTTTATCAATGTGTTCCAAATTCATATAGGCACTAAACAAGTCATCAACGACCTCCCCTTCGAATTTCTTCTCTCCAATCCCATTGGCATTGCCGTTCCCATCTCTATCCTTGTTCTGCCCCTGTTTCGCTAACTGAACAGGATTCTCCCTCCCGGAAGCCGATCCATCCAAAACTCCCCGGCTCGAGATGGGAATCAACTGAGGCGAAGACTGAATCATCGCGTTAAATCCCAACAGAATATCGCTGTTGGACCGCCTATGACCTTTCCGCGGAGGAAGACTACTCCGATTAACAGGCGAAGGAAGCGAAGGGACATGAGAGTTCACAACATTTTCCTCCATCGAAATCTCATTCGAAACCGGGTCGGAGAGCGACGAAGGAGACGCCTCGCGATGCGCCGAGGGGCTCAACGGAGGCAAGCAATCAAGGTTAAAAAACGAGGGCTGCGACAGAGACCTGGTGTGAGAAGGCCCGTACCCGAGACTCGAATTCTGCGGACTCGATTGCCAATTCCCCGATCGAATTCCCGTCGAAACCTTCGAATAAGGAAGCGAATGAAGCGGATTATTTGGGTGCGACGGAGGAATTCCCGGTCTCTTACTGTTATCAGGGCTCAAACTCGGCGACAGACTACGCATAGGAAGAACTCCTCCTCCCATTTGAGACGCTCCGAAACCAAATGCCGAATTAGGCCTTTGCATCGCGGTTCCAGTTTCGCCACTTCCCTCCATTTTCTACCCTAAAAAAAAAAAAGAAAAAAAAAACAATTCACGCACAAATCAAAATCAAAATCAAAATCAAAAAAATAAAAAAAAAAACCTCAGTCGATAATTCGAACAAAAACCCTAGCAACAGAGAGTAAAACCGAAATCACGGATAGAGAAACAGAGAGAATGCGTACAAAGAAAGATGATGAAAAACCCTAACTGTTCTTCTTCTTCTCCAGTCAAATTAGAGACATGGACAGTAATGTCCGTACACGGCAATGAAGCGGCAAGTAAATACAAACAGCGAGAAACAAGGGAGGTTAAGGTTAAGGCCTTGTTTGCCTCAAACTTGTCGCGGAGAAAAGCTCTTCTTTAAGACAAACAACAACAACAACAACAACAACATACGAGTGAAAAATGTTAGAGAGAGAAACAGTTTGGAGAGAGAGAGAGATGCAATGTATTGAAGTAGTAGCAGTAGTGGCAATTAGGTTAAATGCTACCGCGTGAATATCAAAGACGCGGTTTTTTCAATTCCTTTCTCCTTTATCTCCGGCTCGTATTTTGGGGATTTTTTTTTCCTTTTAATTCCCTAATTATTAATATTATTATTAATTTGTTGGCTTTTTAAAATGAGAAATAATTAAGCATTTTGTCAGCTTCTATGGAAAGCTTTTATATCAATTATAAACATTTGGAAGGTACTTTAGACAATATAATAATTCTATATCTAGTAGGGACGGCTTTTTATGGAAGGTGTCCTTAATATACCTTTATGAGTGAATATCTCAAATTATTTTATTGTATATGGATTGGTCGGTAATAAATTCTTATCATCTTTTCAATTAGCGAAATACATACATATTACTTATGAGGAGATTTAATGGATTTTATCATATAATCAAACAATTTAAATTTAAGATCCGTTTAGTTCATGCATTTAACTCAATGATTCTTAATTTTAGTATTTAAAATTTAAATTTTTTTTAAGAGAAAAACACTATAGCATAATCAAAAGCATGAATTTAAACGCATAAAATAAACGAGCTCTTAATAAAACTAAAATGTCATAATATATTTGCTATAAAAAAAATTATACTTCTCGAATTTATCTATACAAATTTTACTTTTACATTTGAAAACCCCAATATTACTATGAAGATTTATACCGAAAAAAGAAACAAATACCTTTTAGAGTGTGTGAGTCTTAAATTTTTATTTTTTTACTCTTAATTAATACCCTTTAATCAAAAAACTAATACCCTTTATATGTTTCTCAATTGAATTTTACAGCATTTACCATAAAGGTTATTATCAAAATTATTCCTTTTAGCCGTTTTTTATTAAAAAGCAAATTGTTGAACTTATTTTTAAAGTGCATAAGTTTAGATTTTTATTCATTATTCTTAATTAATACTAATATAATTATTTGACTAAAAATGATATTAATCAAGAATAAACAGTAAAAATTTAAACTCGTGCATTCTAAAGAGTATTTTGTCTCCTTTCCGTTTTATTCAGTTTTATTCAGTTATTCATCTACCAAATTCCACAAGTGTATATTGTTTTATCAAATAAAAAAGAGCCTTCGAACTAGAACAAATCTCTCTCTCTCTCCTTTATTTATTTATATATCTATTTTTAAAAAAAATTAATAAATCAAAATTGTCAATTATTTTGTTTAATGTTAACATTTCAAAGTTTGAACTCTTGGTCTAAAACGGAATGAGCGGAGATGTAGCCGGAGGAGTTTTACTCGGACGTCAATTTGTTTCTTTCGTCGCTTGTGACAATAGTAGCTCGCTCACAATATAGCAAAAAGATGTCAATGCTGATACGGTATGATAGCAGCAACATGTGTAAACTGTAATTGAAATTTCTACCCGAATTTACAATAAACTTGGGCTTTTAGGACACTAGTAAGATGGTACACAATAAATTGCCAACTTATATTAAGAAAAAATTGTTAAACTTACGATTACGATTAGAGTACGAGTTTGAATTTCTATCTATTATTCTTAATAAATACTCATTTAAGAATAAGTTATTTAATTAAAAAATGATATTAATCAATAATAAGAGGTGAAAATCTAAATCTATACACTCTAAGAGATATTAGTCTCACTTTGCCGTATGTTATTGCATGTGTCAGTTTGCAATAAAGCATGAATTTGATTATCGTATCTATTGTTTATTAGAAAAATAATTTTGTTGTTAAGAATAGTGTCTTAAAAATATAATATGTAATATGATATTTATTATTAACTTAATAAAAAATTCTATTCATTATTTTATGTGCATATAATATTGAATATTTTATGAATATAACTGAACATTCCATGATTATTTATGTGACCTTAAATATTATATATAAGTGTTATATGCGAGAGGATAATATTTAAGGATAATAATCAAAACGATGTTCGTAATGAATTAATTAGAGTTCAGAATCTTTAATTAAAACATTACTAATATACGTGATTCTCATTTAGAATAGAATGATGTTATCCACACTGTTAATATGACGAGATATTGAATGAGTATATTACACATAATGAGATTGTGTGGAACCGGGACACATACACAATATTAAATTTCGAATAATTTTCGTTAAGTATATAAATTCTAATTAAGTTCTATCGATGGTCATATATAGAAAGATCTTAATCCTGAGTTATTAGTAGACTCTTATTTATGGATTTGTGTATTTTGATTTACTCGGTACAGATTTTGAGATGCTGAATCTTATTCTTTGTATTTTAGAGACATGATGAAGTTGGTAGCCAGAAATGTTAATATACGAGATGAAATTCATTCCTTGTTGAGAAAAAAATAGATAAATAATTCTCATGAGCATTGATTCGATACTTGGACTAGTAGATGCTTCGATTCATGATTTTGTTTTATGAATCATTGTCCATTAGAAAATCAATAGTACTCAAGGTTAAAGATGTAATTAGAGAGGTTAACGGATTTCATCTAGTTCTAATTATTAATTATTTATGAATGATTAATCTATATGTTATGGTTATATCGAATGGACATTTCACAATTTAAAAGTAAATTATATTTATAATTACGAGAGTGCAATTCTAAGTGTATAGTGAAGTAACTTTTAGAATTAATAGAATTAATTAATTAATTAAAGAGTTTTAAATAATTATTAATTTTATTGGAGCTCATAATTATAGGTCTATGAGTCCTCGCGTCATTCTTGTAATCCTACAAGACACTAAGGGTAAAATAAGAATTTTAGAATTATGAAATTCTAAATAGAACGCTCAAGAATAATTAATTGAGAATTAATTATAAATTAAAAATAATGTGATTATTTAAATTTAAATTTTAGAACACACATGTGGAGGTGTCCACATGGTGTACATGCCCAGCATAGTGTGAATCTCTTTGGGATTCAGCTAATTGCTTTATAAGTTATCCAATTGACTTATTTGATAAGTTGTCTAATTGAAATTCAAATTAAATTAAGTTTGACTTAAATTGGAATTTGAATTCAAGACAAAATTGGACTATAGGATAAAGGAGATTTTTTCTCCTTCCCTATTTGCTATTTGCGCCTACCACTGGAAGGAATATCACTGTGGTGGCCGGCCTTATGAGATAAGAGAGAGAGGGAATTTTGTTTCTAAAATCAATTAGAAATGAGAGATAACTATCAATCTTTATCTTAGAGATAAAGTTTAGACTTCTTTTGAGAGTTTGACAGCTACTCTACAAATAGAAGATTGCAGAAAATTAGAGAACACAATTTTTGATCTCCCTAGCATAAGTGGCTGAATTTTATAGAGTGAGAAAAGAAAATTTTTTCTCAAAATTTCACGTCGTGTATGTGTTGGTGTTTGTAGAAAACTTGAGTGTTTACTGGCTAATCTCATTTTGTTTCAAGTGTGCCAACACACACGTCTTCATATATTCAATAAATTGACGAGAAAGATTCAGGTATTCAAAACAAGCTTGTGGCGAGAAACGTTCATTGTCAAAGAACTTAAGTTATCGACCAAATCGTTCGCTAGGTAAATAAATTAATTTGATTAATTTTTTCGTTCATAAATTAATGTAATCTATAGAGTATCTCAAAGGTTTGTAAAATTTTTATCATACACGATCTGCTAGATACACACTTCTGCATAGAAAATCGTTTTTAAAATCAACATTTATGATGTAGACATATAAGTTCTAACCATAATATGATCACTATAATATAAATATTATTTAATTTGATCATTTTTTATTAGTCCTAAATAAGAAAAAACAATCCATAACAAGTAAAAATTATAAAAAATAAAGGGTATAAACAAAAATAAAAATTAAACTATTTTTTAAAAAAACTTTGAGTAAGAAGAAAGAGTGAATAATAAGTAAGTAAAAGAATACAACATGTGAAAGCGTAAGTGGAAAATAAGGGCCCATTTAGTTCACGCTTTAAGTTAGTAATTCTAATGCATTGACGGGAACTTCATGAGAGAACCATTAGTGATAAATTTTTGAATTAAATTCTTTGTGAGAGGAAAACATTATTACATAATCTAAATCTTAAGTTTAAATACATTTGTCAAAGTATAGAAGATGAAAGGTATAAATGTACAAAAGATGAAGGATAAAAATAGAAACATAATTAAATTGTTTTGCTATTTAAGCTCTAAATAAGCAAAAAACATATAACAAATAAGTAAGAAGTATAAAAGGTAAAAGATATAAATAGAAATAAAACTTAATTATTTTTTTTAAACTTGAAATAAAAGAAAAAATTCGGTAATAAGTACAATAAAAAGTAGAGCGAGGAAAAAAATTGGTTGATAGCTGACAAACAATTTATAAAGGACAAGAAACACGCTAAAAATGAAAAAAAGAAAAAAAAAATCATGACCCTTGGCTATCATTATATACATAGCTAATTCTACAATATATTGAGGTCGGATTTTTATTGTTTAAAGAACAATTTGAGTTTTTTTTATCCATTAATTTTTCAAAAAATTCCGTATGTGTCTCTTCACTTTTATTTTTATTGTTTTACCTTTAACTTCTTATTCTTTCATTTTTTTTTTTTTTTTTGTTTAAGCATTTTGGTCATTTCCATGTTATATACTAAATACTTCAGAAAACTTTTTGAAGAAGTTTTGTTAACCTTTTTCTTTTCTTTTTGCGGCTCTTCTTTTTTGTTTATTATTCATTTAGAGGACGTTTGGTTGGAGGATTTAAATCTGGTGATTCGAATCATTTTCGATTTACGTGAATTTTTTATGAGAGAAAATACTGTAACGAACCATGAATCATGATTCGAATCAGGGAACGAATCCCTCTACCAAACATCCTCTTAATGTTAATTAAAGTGAGAAAGTGTATAGTGTACTTTTAACTAAAACGACGTAATTTAGTTGAAAGTGTACAACTTTTTCACTTTTTTTAGTCTTTTATTTTAGTTTTTTTTTTTTTTTACACATTTCATCATAAAACTTATTCATTTTTTTTATTTTAGTCCTTTT